TTATAAGTGTTGTTTATCCTTCTGACCAGAAAAGATATATACTGATATGTTTCTCCATATTCAGTTGGTGCTCAAGTGCTCAAGGCACAGACATGGAAAATCCCAACAACAATGAAACAAACAAACAAAACTATTTCCACTACCATGCGCTACTTCATTCCTAAATTCTGCAGAGGTATGAATTCCATCTTTTCCACTGACACTGAGGGAATGTTGAAAAGGATTAGGCATTATCATGGAATGGTAAAGTCCAAAGCTAAAGACAGCACAGCACAGCTATCTTTAGCTATTTTTAGCAGTGTCATGATTTTAGACATGACACTGCTAAAATCAGTGTCATGTCTGAGGTTTTCAAATACCATTTCATTAAACTACTGACTTGATTTTTGTCCTGATCCTGTGACTTACAGTGTTGAAACCACCATACTGACTCTGAAATGCAACAACTGACACCAAGTAATGGTCATAGCCTCCTGAGAACCTCTTTCAGTTTAACTTATTTTTGTGTGATTCCCTGCCTCTTTGGAGCTAAATTGGAAAGGCCAGGATGTCCTCTCTTGAGAACTTAGTAGGGTAGCTCAAATAGGTTAAATCTGAACCTGGTTGAGAGCCGCGCGCAGAGGATCGCGAGTCTGGCGGCTCAGATCCAGTTCTGGCCGCCACCGCCGCCACCCCCACCGGCATCCCTTGAATGCATGGGAGTGGCCGACGTCCGGAACGTTCCAGCGCCTGTGCCGGGCCCAAGGGTGCGACCAGCCAGCACGCAGCCTGCCACAGCGCCCGGTCCCACCCCTCGCCGGTGCCCGTTTCTGCGCCTCGGAAGAAGGCCGAGGAGCCGGCAGCGGCGGAGGCGGCTCGCGATGAGCCGCTCCAGCTCAGAGGGGCGGAGGTACAGTGCGACGAGCTGCTCCAGCTGGCAGCGGTGGATGTGGCACGCGACGAGCCGCTCCAGCCGGGAGGGGCGGAGGTGGAGCGCGGGGAGCCGCTCCAGCCGGGAGGGTCCTCACCTCCCCCAGAGGCCGGCGTGTGGTCCGGCATGCTGGATGCCTGCCCAGCTGCCCATGAGCCCCGGCTCAATGCAGCGCCGCTGCTTGCCGCACGGGTGGCCCCCGGTCCAGCTCCGGGGCTGCAATTGGATACGTGGGTGACACCCGGACCCACCTCATCACCGGCGCCGCTGGATGGGTGGGCGGCCACCAGAACAGACACCCCCCTGTCGCTTGGCCAGGGCCAGGGGGCGCTCGCGGTGGGGGGAGTAGGTTCGGCCGGATCGCTCCCCGGCCTCAGTCAGGCGATGGGGGTATGTGGCGGGGCGTGGCTTGTGGTGCAGCGCAGGGAAGGTGGACGCACCTGCACAGCATCCGCAATCACCCCCGCCGACTTGTTGAGCTGGCAGCAGGAGAGAGCTGCAGCTCTGTGTGTGTTTGTGTATAAATAAAGAATGCTGCAGAGCATGAACATGCACGCGGGTCCGCTGTGGCCTTTTCTCTTATCTATATCTGTAATTGTCCTTGCAACTACTTTGATCTTTTGCTTATAGCAGCTTACTTATGGCTGGCTCTGAGCTATCTTTAATCCTAGCCACTTTGCCTCTGTTAACTTATTTAAAATGTCTATGTTCAGCTTGGTGGAGAAGATTTAAGTGTCTGATTAGGTTTGTTGTTACAAACATATTTGTACCGCCCAGTGGTTTAGCTTATCTTCACTCATTGAGAGGAGCTTCTATGCTAATTGCATGGCAATCTTGGCATGTGGCTGTGAGCATGCTTGTGCAAATGTGCATTTGCTTAGGCCTTTCAGTTCATTCTTTGTGTTCTTTAAGTTCAGCTGAATTGCTTGTTGTTATTAATTCGAATTCTGAACATGTGGCTGATATTTTGTAAAACTGTATAAAATAACCACAACAAATGATGATGATGATTATTATTATTATTCACATTAAATAATAATGTGAATAATATGTGTACAGTTGCTAAGCAAGCCTGTCCATCAAATGGGAAGGATATGTATAGGTGTAGTATACACTACAGTTGAGCATTGGGTGTCATGACTCTCATTGACAAGCATTGAGCACTACCTGTTTGGCAGCAGGCACAACTACAGACTAGATAATAAATTAGTGGAGCATTAAAAGAAAACAACAACAAAAATAAACTGAATCTTGTCTAGGATAACAGATCAGCAATCACAAACAACAAGAAATGAAGCAGCAGAATAAATTAGTATTTATTACTAAGAGGGTGCTATAGCTCAAGAGTCAGAGCGGGTCATCTGTAAAGCAGAAGGTTTGCATTTTGATCTGTGGCTGTTCCAATCTGCATGCCAAATATCTTTGGGCACAATACTAGCTAAGTTGCTCTCCCATGGATCTATTGGAGGGAATGTTAGATAGAAAGCACTTGCATACAAAAAGCATGGGAAAAAAATAGAAGTATGAATGGGTGAATGTGGTAAGTTGCATAACTGCTATATATGCTTTAAATGCTCGGGCAGAGTAGAAAAGCGCTATTTGAGAAGAACCAGGTCATTTACCATTTACCAGCAAC